ACCATAACATTAATATGCCACAGTAATATGCATTTTTTTTTTTTTTTTTTTAATGATGTTTCAAATAAGTGCTATATGAAGCCTGAGATGGCTGAGCCAATCAAGAAGGGCTCCAACCATGTTCACACTCTCCGTATGAAGGAACTCTATGTTATTGTTGTGCGAAATGGTTGCAGGAAATGCCGGAGGCACTAACACCTTGCAAGTTCGTACTAGAGTGGCGGGAGAAAGCACGCCGCCAGGTTTCTGACAAATTGCCGCCATCGCTGAGGCAGCAGCAAGTGAGAGGCTATGGGAGACCATGGCACATATTTTACTCTGTCACAGACGTCGAGGTGGTGTTGCCTCCCGATACCCCGTGGGATCAGGAGCAGAGGCGGATGCGCCTTGAGCGATGGCCCATCCAGGAGATGTGGTGGGAATGGGTCAACTGGGAGGGAGACATCCGGCCGCTCCCCGGATTCGAACACAGGGTAAGAATTTCATGCTCAGTAAACTGTCGGAAGAAATATAACGACGGGACTACTTCAGAGACAAGAGAGCCTCCACTGCAGCCTGATTTTTGAAATTTTGTGTTTATCGAGTATACACTGAAAAAAAAAATCTCGGTGTATTTACTAAGAAAAGGGCAAAATTACCAAGAATTCAGGGTTCTATTTGTTCCCAGTTTTTTCTTGGTAAAATTACCGTTTATGGGATTGGTAATTTTACCGAGATTTCTCGGTAAAATTATTGAACTTTCTCGGTAATTTTACTGGACCTTGGTAAATACGCCAATATTTTTTATCGACCGTGGTAGAATTACCGAGATAAAATGGCAAAGTTACCGGGAATTAATTACCAATAAAAGTGGTATTCTTACCTGAAAAAAACATTAAAAACACCGGTTTTTAGGTAAGTTTACCAGCCTGTCTTGGTAAAATTACCAATAATTGGTAAAAAAAGTGAGATGGTAAAGGTGCCAACGGACCTTGGTAAACACGCCGAGAATTTTTTTTCAGTGTAGACATAGATGACATAGGTTAAAAGGCGGAGCGTGATTGGTCGGCTGTGTCTCATCGCTGCTTTGTCGTGCCTATGTCGGGTGAAACTCACGACAAGCTAAAGGCACCTCTTAAGTTTCTGACAGTATGTCGCGTATGTCGTCCACTCCACCTAACAAAGGCACGATTAAGCAGCGATAAAGACTAAGCCGACCAATCAGGCTCCGCCTTTTAACCTATGTCGTCTAGGTCTACCCGACAAACACAACATTCCGACAATCAGGCTGCAGGTCTCTTGGCGACAGGTGGAAGCTTTTACTTTCGGGGATTCGACAACTCCTTTTGGACAATCATGAGGGAGCAACAGTCTGCCGTGCTGAGGAAAAACGCCGCATGAACCTTCACGCATTGCCAAATTTGCTTTGGCAAATCGCTAATTTATAGAAAAACTTTGTATATCTGCAGAATTTGACAAATTACCTAAGCATTTGTTGCATTGCATTGCCTGATTTTACTATTTGCCTGCGACACATGTATACGTATACCTACTGTCGCGTTATGCTGAGCATGACACCCGCCTACTCTTTGTCACGCTAGATAACAAAATTATGAAGACCTACCCAGCCCCGTGTGTGTTACGTACTTCGTGGACAAGCCCTGGGAGGTTCTGCGTGAGATTTCTTAAAAAGTACCAAACGGACCTCAAAATTTTTCCAACAAGGGCCCGCATGGGACCTTCTTGACTGAAACTAGGGGGTGATCCGATCCCCCCACCGAAGCCCCCCGGCCCCGGGGGGCCCGTGATACTGATATTGGACTTCTTATCAGTACTGCAACAGGATATTGCGAAATATCCACGGATAACTACTTTTGCGGGGATAAAGTAATAGATTTCATTCTCCAAGCTTCATAACATAAATTCTGCTATGATAATGATTGTTGTAAGGGTTAACTTGTAAACAAAGGGGAGGGGGGTGTATATTCGTGAGGAAAAATCGATAGAATTTCTCATGAGTCTGTTTCAGTTTTCATGAAATAAGAGCTTTCATATGAATGATTGTCACAGTAACAATAGTTGAGTTGAAATAGCTGAATTTATTCGTACATTAAAAAGCAAGTTGCGTCCATCCGACCAAAGTTTAAGTAAAATCACCAATCCGTATCACTGGTTCAGGAATGAGGAAGTGCAGAGGGCTCTATCATCTTCTCCTTTCTCATTTTTCCGTGTTGTCGTGGCGGAGCCACTGCTGATTGGCGATGCGTCTTCATCATGGGGCAACACGTGAGCGATCAGCGATCACGCTTTCTGATGTAGCTCGCGGAAAAGTAGCTTTAACGGAAGTGCTCATGTCACGGATATTGTGCTTTCAGTACCGACATTGGCAGATCCATCGTTGTTGTTAAAAAGTTAGAGCAGGAAATCAGTGCCGGTCGCACAGCTGCACAGTGGACCGAGTCAATAGGAGATGTCGGACAAAATTTGGAAAATTTTAAAGCCTACAACTCCGTTTAAGTATACAAAATGTTGAGGTGATCAAAATGGTTCCATTAGTTTTCTTGTGAAATTTTTTTGAAGAAGCACCGCTTAAAATTTAAACGTGACGAATTAAATATCAAAATTTGCAATTTAAGTAAAAAGGTTTATTTCCGACCTCTCTAATTGACTCGATCCACTGTGCGCTGGAGGAAAGGCATTTGGTACAAGCACTGTCTGCCACCTTACAATTAGTGCGGCTAAGTTCTACCTACGAAAATATTAAAATACATCAATGTTTTTTGTTTTTTAACCATTCTTTTGCAATAATTTGACACAGTTTGGCGAAGCAGTGACGATTTTAAACGACCAATAAGATAGATTCTATTTATTAATAAAAAGATAGGCAACTTACAATGTATAGGAGACTTTCAACTTATAAAAAAGGAGGAAAAATATTTCAATCGTCTCAATGAGAGAAGTTCCTTCAATTAGTAGATAGGCAACATGCACAACATTCTGATGATGTCTCCTCTTTTAACCGAAGGTCGTCTGCCCATCGGGGACGATCTCTTCCCGCAGCCAGATGCATGAGAAGACTTCGCATTCGATGCGTTTCTTGCTTTCGGTTGGAGTTTCCAACCGTGTTTTGTGTCGTTTGGAGTTTTCCAAATTTGTTTTATTAAATTAATTACACAGGAACTATTGTGAGGCCTTTTAAAAGCATTTAAAAAAACTGATGACCATGATCGAAAAATGCGTATCCTCATCGCTACGTTTCAAAATTTTCGCCCGTTTTTTATGTTTCTAAAAGAAAACTACCTATATATCATATTAAAACTATGGGCGAATATTTTAGAGGAGGAGTGAAGAAATTCCACAGAATAGGTCATGGGAAATTGAACCATGAGCCGTGATTTGCAATATAGCGTTCGGAGATGGGCACTTTTGACTCCATTCATCAATATGAGGACAGTAAACAGGTAGTTTTGAAGTTTTTTGTTCTATCGATTTACTCATGTTCATCGCTTTCCAACAGATGCAAGAGTTGCTAGAGCAACAACAAGATACCGAAGAGGACACACTATCGGAGGAAGAGGAGGAATGGGAGGAGGAGGAAGAGGAATTCGTCGAAGAAGAGGACCCTTGGGAATGGGAAGAGCCCCAAGAGGAAATCAACATCGTCCTTCTGTATCCCGATGATGACAGCGAGGACTAATTCTTCCCTGGATTGGACTAAACCACTTGTGCATTATGTAGTATTCTAATGTATTCCACCTATTCCACTAATGTATTCTACCATTACCACTAACTCTACCATTTTGGAGTTTATTTTAGAGCTATTAGATGCCGCCGTTTAAAGAAGAAACGGAAACCGTTGCAATCCACCGTACAAGGCCGGAATTTGGGAATGCTCTGTGGGAGTTCTTTGATCAATTTTAAAGGAGCTTTCTGAGTACGAAAAAGTCACATATTTTCTGAGTCCCCGGGCAACAATATGGCCCTTTTCTTGCAAAGCTCCTCTTTTGACGATTTTAATTTATTGAAATGAACTCAATTTAGTTCAACTCAGTTGCGATGTCTCTTAATTTTTACTTGTATTTTACTTTGTATCTGGAAGCTGTTGCTTGTTGAGTCTTGTCGTATTATACAAAATGTAAAACGAGGAAAGACTTGCTGATGTGCTCTTTTTTTTTTTTTTTTTTTTTTTTTTTTTTTTTTTTTAAAGAATTCGTATTCCTTAATTATTCTAAGGGTCTTAATCGAGTTAGCGCGGTTTTTTTCTGAAAACCTATTCATTCATTTTTCTGACATCCAATGAATGAATGATAGCATCTGTGATATTATTTTAACTTTGTGTTTATATGTATTTTGAATGTGAATTTGATTATTAATTTTAAAAACTTCAAAGGATATTGGAATCTGATAGCGGAATAGAAAAAAATACTTTTACAAGGCGATTACGTTTTTTCACTGTCATTGACAATTTTCTAACTTTAGGTATGTTCATAAAACTTTTGTTTGTACATTATGTAAATTTAGTTTCACGAAATTTGAAATCCTCATAAATTACCAACTCTATTAATTGATAAAATTTGTTACGTTAGTAAGTCGATGTTATGACTTTAAGCTCTCACAGATTGTTTAAACTCGATTTTCATAGTTTTAAAATAATAAGCATAGGAATAAGATCATTAACGAATTTAAAAACATGTTTTAAAATGTATGTATGCATGTGTATCTAAATGTGTATCACTAACTAACTAACTTTCTCATGCGTATCTAAATGTGCGTCTCAGCTGGTACTATATTTATGAGCGATGTTTTAAGATTGTTATTCGTGGTAAGTTATCCGGACTGAAGTGATCGGAAAAAATTGTAAATATGTAAGTCATTTGTCAAAAATAAAAGCATGCGTAAGTAAATTTCAAACATGCTTTTCCTCGAAAAATCATACAGTGATAATCAGCCCTCTAATGTGATTAGAAGGAAGCACATAGTGGGTAAAACAATTGCGCTCATTAACTTGCCTACCGTAGTTATAGACAAAACTTACAGTAAGACAATTAAATTTCAATTTTCTCGTCAGTTTTTCCCTGCTGATTTAAATTTTGTTTTCCGACTTGATAATTCATTTTTTCAATAGAAAAAAAAAAAAAAAATACATTTTAAATATTTCTCTTGCTCTCGCCAGAAAAATTTGAACAATCGATTTATTGAAACTTTACTGTTTTAAAAAATGACCCTAATAGGGATGCCTGACATAGGTACTTACGTCTTAGGAAGTTATTATGTAAATGTTACCTAATGTAAAACTGTATGTAATTGTATGTGATGTATTTTATGTGAAACTTTATGGTTTGATGGCAAAGGAGTGAAATAATGTTCACGACAACGAGTAAGTGAAGCTTGTTCGTGGCTCAAATTCAGAATTCATAGAGAGAAATCGAAAACGTGGGAGGAAGGATGATGGAGACTCTCTATGAAACATTACTTAGCGCTGTACGCGACAGTTAATATTAATTTCAAGTGAATTTTTGTAAATTTCACACCACCAATGTTCTATTTGTATCTTTTAATTCAGACAAATTTCCGTAAAAAAGCTATTTTTCTATTGCCGTAATTTATGAAATTAGATTGATTTTAAACCTCATAAATTTTTTGTTACTCACTATAGACTGTGTTCATTAAAAACTATTTGAAAGGACTCGATTGTATGGATTTTTTGGGGGGAATTCCACCAGAGAAAAGAACATTTAATAAAAGTCTCATTTCGTTTATTTACGAATCAACATAGCCAAAAACTTCGGGCTGACGCAAATACATACTTTTTGGTGTTGAGAAACGAAAGAAATTCTTTTTCTTTGTCTAACTACATCAGTTTAGAGATACATATTCAATTTTTTTTTTTTAATAGAAATCGTTCATATTAAAAATTTGAAAGTTTGTACAGATCTTATCACGAGGACTCATAGTAGGTGCATTTTATTTATCAATAGCAAACTAGTTGTTTCTCAACACGTCTTACACGAATATCTTGTTTGTGGTAAAAAGAGGCCCCCTCTCCCGTGGATACTCACAAATTTAAAAAGTTACAAATATTTCATTTAGTTCTCTTGAGTAAGTAAGAGGAGAGCGGAAATTTTGGAGTGACTAAATCAATAATCAGGGCTACTTATTGAGTTTCACTGTCAACAGGCGATTCAGTGGCTAAAATGCAAAAGCCGCCTGTTTCAATTAAAAATTTGAAAATTTCTCCGTATATTTTGTTTCTTGAAGAGGAAAAAATGGAAATTACGTTTTGAGATTTTTTTATTACGACCAAACGATCCGGAATAATCAAAGCATCATGTACAGCTGGACCTATTTCTTTTAAAAAATATTAAGTGTGTGCATATTTGTGCAAAAGTTCCAAACGTATGATTGAAACATAGTTTGAAGTTCGGGGCTGTTAGCTACCGAATTTAGCTCTTGTTTTCAAAAGAGTATAATCTGACTGAATTAAAAAGACAATGCGAGCATCCAAGTTACAGTCAAATTGAAATCAGCGACTGTAGGTTGTATCGGGAAAGTTCCGAGACAGTATGCAAATTGTTGTTAAGCCTAAAGAGCGACCCAGTTGACTGCTTATATAGGATAGGAAGAAAATCAGCTACAAAACCATAACGATTATTCCGTACATCTCTCAGAGAAGAACTGTTTTTGAAAAGTTCTCAGAATATGTCAAGCAAAATTGATGGTGGCTTCCATTCTTCTAATATAGGTGATAAGTTTACAGGCAGGCTCGGACTGGCCATAAGGCCAATCTGCCATTGGCAGATACGCCCCCTTGGCCCGCCAAAAACGCGCCCCTCTGACAGATGGCAAAATAAGAAGAGAAAAAAAAATTACGACCGAGAATATATGCGGAAAATTTCTTAAATGAACGGAAGAAGAAAGAGTTAGGAGTGAAGAGAGGTTCTTTTACGCATAGTGGTGAACAGAGGTCCAAGAACTACTTTCTGAAGCGTAAACACTTTTCTGTGAAATTGTCACCTTTTTGTTGACATACAGGCGCTTTATCCCCCTCCTTCATTCTCTATGTGTAACTCCCGTAGAAACGATAGCCGGTTCGATTTTTAGACACACGCACACTTTATAGACCTCATGAGAGATCTTTGAACATATTTCTTCCTTTTCAAAATGACTATTGATTTGGACATATCATAGGATATCTCGGGCAAACTTAACCTTAATTTATTTCGAAATTCAAAAGTAAGAGACGTCTAAAGTGTAAACGCGATACAACTATTCTCGCGAGATGGATGTCCACATTGCACATGAAAAATGTAAGACGCAATGGCGTGAGTCGTGAACTCGCAATGCTCTGATCTAGTTTAAAGCAACATTACAAATAAGACAAACGGAAACAAACACGACATGGAAATAGAGCGAGGGAAAGGATGCGCGTTAACGACGGCGCATAGATACGACTATTCGTACTTGATGGACGTACAGGGTGCATCTGAAAAATTGAAGGCGCGATGACGCGAAGCGTGAGTTCTCAATGCTCTAGCTATATGTTGCCAATGAAGTGTCGCTCATATTCGGGAGAAAAGTTAAAAAAGAGGCCCGAACACATCGCTCCTACCTTCGACTGTGTTATTCACGTAGTGCTTGAAGCACCATTACGAATAAGACAATCGCAAACAAACACAATATGGAAATAAAGCGAGGGAAAGGATGCGCGTTAATGACGGCGCAGAGATACAACTATTCGTACTCGATGGACGTCCGTACTGCATCTGAAATATTGAAGGCGCGATGACGCGAAGGTTGAGTTCTCAATGCCCTGCTATATGCTGCCAATGAGGTGTCGCTCAGATTCGGGAGAAAAGTTAAAAAAGAGGCCCGAATACGTCTTTCTCGTCGTCGGCTGTGTTGATACTCGTTCTTTCTTCTTTTTTCAGGTTCTTGCCTGATTCTTTTTTAGGATGGATTTTTAGACCCACGTCTTAGGCTCGTGTAAACCGCAGCACTGACACGGTTCTTGTGGAATAATGGTGCTTGGATGCGTCCAGTGGCTTTCATTTTTTTTTGTTTTCTTTAATTTCAGAAGTCTGTCGGTCACTTCACTAGTTCAATTTTACAATTTTTACTCTACGATTAATAAACTCTGAACCTGAAAATAGCGTAAACTTGTGCTGCTTCGCCAAAATTTTCTGAACCCCTCTCCACGAAGGGGATGCCCCATCAGGAAATACCACATTACGCCCCTTTGACCAGGTAAGGGTCTACGCCCTCAGATGCGAGCCAGTCCGACCCTGTTTACAGGGCCGCATTAGCACTCAGAGGCCGGAGTACTCGCGGTTGAGATGGCCTGAACATTGCGGGTTGTATAATTTGTAAATTGAAGGCGGTTCAAGTTTACAAGAGCACAAGAAAAAAAAATCATTTATAGTACGGTTCGGCTACAATGCCCTCCTTCAAAAAAATACAAACAAAATTTACTCTTGAGCGCATCAAGGAATCGGGTCTCAAGAACCCGATAAAACATTCTGGTCAGAGCTCAGTCAGGAGTTCATAAACATTGACGTTTGAAGCTCGCACGAAAATTCTGATCCCAAAGTTTCATTGAAATTTCAGGCTCAGGTTACAAAAGGTCATCAGGAGCTCTGAATCCTAACCTTTAAGGACTCTATGACCCCTGAAATTCCAGTTTAAGGACTCCTCCAACATCTTTACGATTGGCCCCCAGAAGATTTGAATGGACCACTCGTAGAGAGAAAATTTAAAATAACAATAAATAAATCTGTTTCAGGGAGCCTTGGGTGTAACAACTATAGGTGATTTCCGCTGGTCACAGATTTATACAGATATTTAGATAGCTGATTTACAAAAACCAAGCATCAAAACACGATTCTGAGACCAGCGACACTGATCCATTCGGCCCTGGAAGTTTGAGACATGCTGATCAAAACTCATTTTTCCCTAATCTAATTTGTCCAGTTTCACCAGAGACAAGAGACCCTCCACTAGTATCTTGGCTATTGTGGAAGCTTTTACTTTCGGGACTTCAGCATTCTACTGTTGACTTACCTACATGGTTGATGTTTAACAACGTGTTGGCAGTTTCGTTTTGCAAACAAGTTGAAAATAGCCGAAGTTTGCGAAACTTGTTTGGCTCATGACGTCACCCGAAGCTCATCATTGACCATGTAGGTAGGTCAACAGCCGAAATTGAGGTGATGACTGTTGCTCCCTAATAATTGTCCATAAGGAACTGTTGAATCCCCGAAAGTAAAATCTTCCACCTGTCGCTAGGAGGCCAGTGGAGGGTCTCTTGTCTCTGAGTTTCACCTAGAATTTTTTTGAGAATCTACTTCAAAGTTTACAAAAGACGTTACAGATGAGGCTGTAGTGATGGTAAAACACACAATTGCCGAAGATATCAGGGAGGTATAATTAGTCAAATTCTTTACGCACTGATGAGGCTGTCAGATGGAATAATGCCGTATGAATAATACTCCCGTGCTACGGCAAGACGCCGTGTGACAGAATTATATTGCCAAATCCCTCTCAATTTTATAAATCTTTTTGAGAAAACTTATTATAATTTTCCCTTGAACCCTCTAATTTTTTTTACAGTAGATAGATTTCAAATGAAATTTTCTGAAAAATTGATAAGAAAAAAAAAAAAATACTCTTGGAAAACCTACCGAAAAGGATCGCTAACAGGGTGTTTGCAACAAACACTTAAATAATTGATTCTTTACCATTCTGACGTAAGTAAAAACGCCATATGAGCCCTCAGACGTTGCCGAACTTCCTTCGATAAAAACCGAATTTGAAGGTATAACCATGCTAAATAACGTTCTGTGCGTCAAAAAAGTAGAAATGGGCCTGTTGCATGCAAGAGATACAGCCGTGCGAATAGACTCTCTAGAGGTTAAATGACACGAAAATTACGATGGTCACATTAAAAAAGTCTGAAATACACTCCTTACTGCGCAATTTGCGTTGGTAGGAACGCGCTTTTTCAAATTTCCCGCGTCTGGGGGCAGTTTTCTAACGGAAACTATTAACGGCAACTCGCGGCTATTTCCGGTCAACTAAAACTGACAACATAATCTAAAAATCTTCATCTTCTTCTTCTGTTAGTTCACTACCTAAAAATCGGAGCTCGTGATATCGTGAAATGAAATGTAGAAGGATTTCGTTGGATATTTAAAAGTTGATCGATTTGGTTACCGCATAAAGCGTATATGGTATATGGACCACTATAAGAGATCACGTTGGGTTTGTAAACAAACTGAAGGAAAAAATAACAACAACAACAACGACTCGGCATCTCCCGGAAATCACCGAGCCCGCCGTTTGCTCGTTTCCGGTGATTAGAAAACTGCCCCCAGACGCGGGAAATTTGAAAAACCGCGTTCCTAACAACGCAAATTGCGCAGTAAGGAGTGTATTTCAGACTTTTTTAATGTGACCATCGTAATTTTCGTGTCATTTAACCTCTAAAATGTCTATTCGCGCGGCTGTATCTCTTGCATGCAATAGGCCCATTGGAGAGTCATGGTAACTAATGTTCAATTATATGACTTTCAATGTTAGTTTGAGTGGTGATGTAGGTTTTCATACAGTTTCCACCATGAAAGGTATGAAATGTACTTTTTTTGAACAGCGCGCCAGTCCGTGTACTTTTCTACGTCACAGCAAATCTTCAAGATGGCTGCCTTGCCACCACCTTCTGTATTTTCTCTACGACTTTTCATGACGAGGTAACAGCGCACATCTGCTGGCGCTGGCGCCGCCGGCGCGGCGCGGCAAAGACGCGGGACTGATCTCGCGACATTTTAGTGTCTTCTTGCGTTGGAATGTCTGGTCTGGTCGACCAACCCCTGTCCATGCACAAACACCGACACACAAACACGGTGATAATGACCTTACGCGAATCCAGAGCCCCGCTGCGATTACAATTGCCCTTTTGAACTCGGGATTAATCAGCGATCGACAATCGTGGTTCTCGCTAGTTCAAAGTGCGCTTTCAAGTTGCGCTGAGTCCAGGCATTATTCTTCGATTTTCCAAGTTGTGCGGTGCATCGAACCTTCAAAAGGCAATTCTTCAAACCTTCGGACATTCGATCGAGCAGGACAAAAGGTTGGTAGATGAATCCTTTCATTTTCATGATATGGACTGCATTTTGCAATTTGGAACTATGAATTCTGGCCCGGTTTAAAAACAACGTATGTGCCATTAGTTTCCTTATGCACATACGTGTTTTTTCAGATGAACCAGAGTTTATAGGTCCACATTACAAAATGCAGTCCATATAAGAATAGGGGTTTAAGTTTCCCGGGAGGGTGAAGTGCCGCATGGGAGCGGAGGGGTCTGCCGTGACCCTTCAAAGCGTGGGTGCTTACTGTGTATACAGGGTGATCCAGGGATAAACGGCCAGACTGCAGGAGCCGGAATATCCCCAAACCCCCTCTTTAAATTGAGATTTCGATTTTTTTTTGTTGATAATTTATGAATTCAGGGCATAAAAGTACAGGAGAGTACACATTTTCATGAGATTTGGTTCACAACCGTGGCCAAAATTTAGGAAAAACGATTTACTTTCCGTCATTTTTTTTTGAGGGGGGGGCGTAACTCCGACTGGGGACACTTTGGAAAAAACTCTAAACAACAAGAAGTCTTTATTTTGACCCATAGAACACGCTCCTGCAGTCTGGCCGTTTACCCCGGGATCATCCTGTATGTGCATGTGCTTGTGCGTAAGTTTTTCTGTCAACGTTCTGCAGGTAAGTTTTGAGCCGGGGATTTCTCGAAGCGAGAAAGTACCCACTGAGGTGCATATGTAGGAATAGTATTGGCGGTGAGATCACAAAAATGAGGACCGATCTCGTGTGTGGAATTTCAAAATTTCCACTCCTTAATTTTTTTTACACAAAACTACAGTTTGACGATTTTGCACGAGAGGCAAAGAAAAACCACACACAATTCCGTTCAATAAATGGTGATAAGTTGGACAAACTTAACTGGATTCGTTCGAACAACATTTCACGTTGCCTAATTTTATATTATATTTGATTTTTTTTTGGACAGAGAAGTAAACCACTTAAAGCCTTTAATCTTCCTGTAGATTTACCTAAGATTACGATGGCTATACTCACAGCATTTCAATAATCAGCGTGGCTTGGTTTTCTGTTTAAAAATAACACATCAGAGAAAATTAAGCAACTTACAATTTAGCTAGGTTGTTTCTGGTGAAATTCGTCTAATGGCGATTCTTGAAAGTTGACAACATTGACTTTCCGCCATTTAAATGTATGTAAAATAATCGATCCTTGGTGAGGCAAATTGCCCCGCCTAACATCGATTGTTTTAATAGATTTAAATGGAGGAAATACTACGTTGCTAACTTTCAAGAATCGCCACTAAATCCGTCCAGTTATTCATAAAAAAAGTGATTTTTTTTTTTAAAGCACGAAAAATTGGCAAGGAGTGGCATATTGGAGATTGCTTTGTATGGCTAATAAAAAAATAAAAAATCGAGAATTCTGCGTCGAGAGATTCAACTCGGAGAGCGATCAAACGGAACGTAGGGTGGGATATCTTTAAGCGGGATCGTGACACTCAAATGAGCTTAGATAGTTCTCCAAGATATTTACATTGGAATTTTTGATCGAGAAACAGTCGAATTTGACCCTACAGTAGGTATTTTTTTGAATCCCGTGAACATTCTATGCTTATTTTAGGTCCTTCAAACATTGCATCATAATGATTCATGTCTAAAATCTAAAGACACTTATGTCAATCGCAGCGAGTGAAAATTCCCCCTTTAGTTTTTTTTCAGTACTTAAAAGGATAGAAAATAATCCGTTCCGATGAGTGTTTTTGCAGAGAGTGGACGAAGAGGAGAGGAATCTGAAATTTTGGAGGAATAACGTTATCTATTGGAAAGGGGGAAAATTAAGAAGTTATTTGCAACGTCCGAAATGGCAAATTGTGGTTTAATATTGAAAATAGTGGTTTTAAAAGCGGAATAAGAGACTGTAGCCGAGAAACGCAAACAGCTAATCTGGTTGAGAGAAAATGAAAGAGAAAGCGACGCTTTTTCATGAATGAAAAGTGATAAGCTCATCGATGGTTATTTTAGGCAGTTAAAAAAGTCAAGAGCAATGAACTTGAGTTCTTGATATGCAGCATTCTTCTTACCCTTGACCTGGACAGACGCAATCATTATTTCAACCACTTACATTACATCCGCGCCATGACATTGGTGGATCCACTTTTTACATTCACGTTATAAAACTTGGCAGCGTTGCAAAATCTTGTCATTCTCTCTCAACGCATCGTGCCAATCATTGCTGGAACTTCCTTTCCACGGAAAGGAGGCACGCAAATGTCACGATTTCACGTTGGTGCAAAGCGATGATCGAATTTCGTGCGATCGTCTGATGACAGAACGCTTCGGAACGAGAGAGTTTTTCATGTTTACACCCGAAGCACGTTTTCTCCAATTGTGGAGTTTCAAATGTCCTACCAGTCATAGCATCTTTCCAAAGAGAGCAAAGGCCCAAATGTTGGGCCTGAACCTATGAACAAACTGTATGCAGAAAGTAATGCACATATTTAAAAATAATTACACGAAATAAACGTAGTGAGTAATGTATCTCGGTGGTGTGTCAACCTTATAAACGTCATGACACGAGGCAGCTCAGTCCGTTGCAACAGGCGCGCGTTTCTGAGAGGATAGCCAGACTGCCAGAGCGCCTTCAACACTTGGTATATGCAAAAGGGGCAACCTTCGAGCACGAATAGTTGCTCATGCAGGCGTTACTATTGACAAAACGACGATCGATCGGACAGAGGTGTGAACTGAGGGGGTTTCATGCCCAATTTCGCCCTGCCTTTATGGTATTTTATTATTTTGCAACCATTTGCGCGCATACTGTATCGCTCTTCTGCCACTATTCCTTTTTTCTACTTTTTAGCGGTGCAAAGGGGCTAATTTTAAAGACCCTTTTTGACCTGAAGAAATCTTATCGAAACTAATTCATTATCATGAAATGACTCGATTAAGAGTAATGCGTACCTCAATTGCAACGCTTGATAATCCCCAATCATGTTTTATTTTTTATAGGAAATTAAAAACGCGAGCGAAGACGCACAACATTGCAATCTTGAGATACGCATTTTTTGACTTTAGCCATGGATATTTTATATTGTAATGTTGAATGCGCCCTTCACATACTTTCAACAAGCGTTTATTTGCATGAACATGATGACTAATTGAAGTGATTTCCGTACGATTTCCAGCATTCACGACCTAGGGAAAAATTTCTCAAGGCACGCCTTTCTCTTTATTGATAACGCCTGCGCAGCGTATCAGTTCTGATGTTTGTTCAACGCTGCACTTCAAACCACAGAAAACTTATTCAGCTTCCGTTGCTAATATGTGCAGCTCTATTTCAAGCAGGTAAGATGCTTCTCTAGGCTACTCTTACACCCGGTGTTCCTATCATGAATGAACAATCTGTATTCTGAAAAACAATTCCACAGAAGCAGCGACAAAAATGGAGGGCAAGAAATAGTCTAAAGGTGAATCGTGCCTTGATCATTTTCAAAATAATGCATCGATGCAATTATTTACAAAGCAAACGCATTATTTAAGACGATGATTGAGACCTATCTGGAATATTTTGTAAACAGCGAAGTCATTGAAGAGCATCCAATATTTTCTTCTTCTTTTAAAATGTGTTAAAAAATATTGGAAATATAAGGACCATGTCTTTTATAAGTATTTTATGAATTAAATAAACACAGGTATTAAGAGACAAAGTAAATATTAGGTGGTACAACAGGTGGCACCAACAGGTGGTACAGATTATCCAGAAGACCAGGAATTTTAGGATTTTCTGTCTTTTGTTTTACAAAGTGCACTAAATTTGTACTTAATAACCATGTTATTTTGCATTATTGAATACTTAATTTTAAAAAGAATTTTTTTTTGCTATTTTAACATTTTTACCTATAATTGATGTGCCCGCACATTTCCCGAAAAATTTTGCCTGCAGCGCTTCATCTCGTAAGCAATGTACTGATAGGATATCATGCACTTTCCTTTTGCAAACTAAAACTATAGAAGGACACATTTGCATTTCCCAGTGTTACAGCCGAAGACATATCCCAAAGGGATGATTCCGGCATTGTCCATGCAGATACGCTAACATGAGTTTGGTTTAGTTGTTCAGCTCGACTTTGGTCCCCGATCTTCCTTAGCCTTGCATACTCCTGATCAGAGTTTATTCCAAATTAGAGCCTAAACCAACATATGATAGTTTAACCATCTAGAGGACCATCCGGTCGAAACCCACCCCGTGTTGGGGAGGTAGTGCGAAACGGATGGGAATCGAAATCCCCGACTTTGATTTATCACAGCCGGAGGAACAAGATGCTTAAACTGTCATATCTTCGATAAGATTCGCCACTTTTTCTCATGGTCACCCAAAAAAAAAAAAAACCATTTGCATTTTTGATAATTTTATTTTCAGACGTTGCCGAAAGAAAAAATAAATTTCCCCCGTTCATGTTTCAGCCGACTGTCAAAGGTCCCCTACGATCGCCCGAATTTCTCCTGAGCAGCTGAAAAACGTGGGGGGCATCGCTGAATTGGAGTGCTCCGTCCAGTATGCGCAAGAGTACCCGATTTTGTGGGTGAAAGCAGATCGACTAAATGGCAGTGAGCAACTCCCTATATCTAGCGGTAGCTCCCTCATCGTTAGGGACAGTCGCTTCGCTCTTCGACATGATGTCTCAAGCTCAACATACACTTTGCAGGTAGGCTTTCAACGAATCGATCATTGCGTAACAAGGCTAGAGAAGGAACCAAGACGTTTCGGCAGGAAACTTTACGGGCCTCCGCAGATAAATGAATTATAATACAATTTAAAAACTTAGTACTCGACTGTACCTTTCCAAAACGCGATGAATAATGTCATTATGCTTTTTGCACACGTTGCAAGTGTTTTGGTGAAGGTGGGTCATCGGTGCATCATTCATCGATGATCTTGAAATATGTTGCAAAAACCCTCATTGATGACCACCACTTTCAACTTAAAACTGTGGGAATGGCACGGTCAATAAGCACCGAAACCGAACATCGATGAAACCAATCCAGTGCTTGCTTTGTTACCCGCGGTGTGTACTTCTATAAACTTATGTCTTGTCACATGCTGCTGAGTCTTCACTGAAAAAAATGAGTTAGCGTCAGATGACTAAAAATGGTTTCTATACACTAACTCAAATTGTGTGATTTGGACACACATGATTTTTGGTTTCTGTACACTAACCACTATTAGTGCTGGAAACTAATTCCGCTACTCTAATTCGCATTTGGTAGGGTTGGGTCAACCTAACCTCAAAACTGAGAGAGGAGAAAACGGCTTAGCGAATGATAACTGGACAATACTTTCAGGAAAAGAAGATTTCTTAAAAGATGAGAGGTAAAAATCAACTGACCGGTTCCAAATGAACGACAGAGGAAAGGAATATCCTATAGGTATGTGCAAGTAGACAGAATTATCCTTTAGAGAGACACACACTCACACATGAAACGGTAGCGAATGTTCACACTGAATAAACATATCTCGTCCGAACACTTGAGATATTCTTTTGAAATTACGGGAGAACACGAACTATAGAAGTAAGCAGTAAGTTCACAGATTTTCGTAAAATATAAACTGAACGCGGAACGCTTTAATCGCAATTTAATACAGAAGATTGACGACTCCAACGAATATCATGCTTGTTTACATTTTGAATCGAACAGACGATTTCTAACCTCAACAGGTTTATTTATGTTGCTTTCGAACGTTTTCAAGAAAGAGAGGACACTATAAATCATACCGGGAGTATTTATATTGTCAAACGAGCCCGAAATTTCACATTTTAATTGATTTTCACGAGCTGACGCGATTGAGGCTGTTGTACCGACGCCACTTTTTCGAAACTAAATAAATGTAACGGACAATGTGGCAGTTAGTGTTGAGGGCGAATTAGTTTGACCCGAAGGTGAATTTGTCTTACCACAGCGCTAATTTTACAGCTAGTGCTGTTTTCCAATTCTGGTTCGCGCTCTAGTAAAGTCAAGTCAGCGTATGAAGCGAATTGATTGGTGCTTCAGTACAATAAATTAGTTCTGAAGCCTAATTTTGATTCTACTTGGCGAGAACTTACCAAATTAGTTCTCAACGCTAACTACTTTTTTTTCAGTGTTCAAAATATCTAATATCAACATTCCTACATTACATAATACGATATTTTGATTTATCATCATACTTTAAATTGTGACTCTCTTCAAAAATTTCGAAAAATGTGTTGGGATTCTTTTATTTACGCATTACATTGTTGACATGATCAGAGTAGTCCTACCTATTATGGTATTTAATTTTATAGAGATTTCTCATCCAGTGGCGAGGCGTGAATGATCGATTATTGATATTTCCCCGAAGCTGTGTTAAAGAATCTATTTTTAAGGTGTTCGTTGCGAACATCATGTTTATCGATCCTTTTCCATAGGTTTAAATGATGGATCAATCGATACATCGCAAAGCTTACCCCGTTACTGTCTCATCTATCTCGATAGAGCCTGACGGTTCATAGGACAACGAAGAACGAAACTTTTTAATCACTAAGAGGACAATGATTGAATTTTCTCAGATATTTGTTTTAATGTCCGATCTATAAGGATTGGTATTCAACTTTGCGCTAATAAAAATAATTTTTTCCTCTAGATCAAAGACATTCAGGAGACAGACGCCGGACTCTACCAATGCCAAGTGATCATTGATCTATCAAACAAGCTGACATCAGACGTGTGGCTACGAGTGCGCAAACCGCCTATGATTCTGGATAACTCAACGCAGGGTATTATGAGAAACCAAGGGCAAAACGTGGATCTCGAATGCTACGCTAGTGGTTTCCCTATTCCGCGAATTTCATGGCGCAGAGAAAATAATGCCATTTTGCCTACAGGCGGATCAATTTATAGGTACGCTCAAAAAAATACCTAACGTACTAGAAAAATGAAATAAAGTTTCAAAATTGCATTTTTCAAACCTCCAAGGGACGTTTTCCAAATCTCGACAATTATATAATTTTAAATTTTTCCGTTCAGTTTTATTTTGACATTAGTTTTTGTTTCGGCTTTCGCGTCAGATTTGTCAGTTTTTTATTTCAATTATATGCACGCCCCGAGCTCAAAAAGGTTTCGTTGTTTTGAGTAGCAATCTCATCGTCCAATCTTTGAAATTTTACTGTACGCACGGTTAACTTTACCCATGGCATAAAATCGGCAGAAAGAAATCACAACGCCTTCGCTAAACATGCGAGTTTGAGTTAAATTTACATGTTATTTCTCCTTCAAGGTGCTGAACCTATAAAAATCGTATTAAGACAAACTTGTAATTTTTGGAGTGGTTGCGGGTTGCCTATCCTCTGAAATCTGGGCGGTAATGTTGTCTCCAGTGGTTACAGTGGCGTATTGTGCAAATATTAATTGAGAATTTCAATTTTATAGCGAAACAATTTTAATAAACTGAACGTCTTTTGCATTGTTCCTTTAAAATATGCTACTCACCTACATTGAAGAAAATTCACTTAGGCCGTTGTAAACTCTAATTATTGGTGTCAATAGACGAATTATCACGATCAAATATCATTTCTTTTTTTAAATTCAGCTCATACCAATTTTTCAAACAGAGCTGCTGTCACGAGTCGAGAGTAGATAACTACTGCCAGCTGATTTGTAAAATTGATAGACAGGGCGATGGAAAAAGAAGAAAAGTAGGAAACGGAGAGATCCTATTGGAGGAGGTGGGCGATTGGAATGGACAAAGGAGTTGAGTAATAGACTAACTAACGGCAACCACGAGGGGAGGAGAGGCCCTATAGTTACTTTATCATTTTCCCCCTTAATGCATAACAACCACTCGTTTCAAACCAGTATGATCGGTAAATTTATCCTTTGCCTTCTTAGTCCAATGATTTTTCTGTCAATTTCAACAATCAGCCCGCAGTTCGCTGCCTTTTGGTCAACAATCGTAACAATTCAGTATTGAATCCACTTCGAACACTCAATTAAAAAATTAGGAATATGCTAAATACTGCTGCTAATGATATCAATCAGAATTTTCCTCAGAGGGACTTTCGTTTGTCTATCGATCGCGAAAATTCTCCTAGAACATGAATTTTCAGTTTTTCGGATCAAGGATGCTGAATGCTGCCTCTTATTTTTAATACCAAACCGATGGCCATTCAGTGCATTATCACGGTGTCTACTAAAACAGGCTGCCAAAAAATAAGTACTTTTACAGTACTTTTTTAGTACTTTCCCAATAAATTCAGTACCTCCTCAACAGAAAAATTCAGTACTTTTTCAATACCTTAATTTGACGAAAATCGAAAATATCACAAATTTGAATTTCTCCCTCCGAAATAAAAAAAATTCCGGACCTTCTTGTGGAATTTCCACACTTTTTCAGTACTTCCGGACCACCCTTAAAAAATCAGTACTAGTTCCGAACTTTCCGGAAATTCCGGACCTGTAGACACCTTAATTGGACTATATTTTGCAATTTGGAACTATAAATTCTGGCCCGATTTAAAAACAACGTATGTGCCATTAGTTTCCCAATGCACATAAGTGTTTTTCCAGAGGAGCCAGAATTTATAGCTCCAAATTGCAAAATGCAGTCCAATTATGAATAAGATGTAATGAAAATGATGTTTGCAGAGGTAACATCTTGAAAATCCCGTCGATCAGCAAAGAGGACCGCGGAACATACTACTGCGTGGCCGACAACGGAATCGGGAGACACGTCTCACGGCGGATCAGCGTCGACGTTGAGTTCCCGCCGATCATCACCGTCCAACGCCCACGACTCGGCCAAGCACCCGGATTCGACATGGATCTCGAATGCCACATCGAGGCCTTCCCTCTCCCCACCATCATGTGGATTAAGGACGGGGCCCCGGTCACCAACAATCAACACTACCTGTAAGTACCATTCGGATGGGTTTGTAACGGTATGCAGACAAAAGGTCTACAGCAAAAATGTCCACAAGCAGAAAGTCTACGTTTTTTGGTCTACATTTACAATGTCTGGAACTAAAAAGTCCACTACGAAAATGTCTACAAATAATAATGTCTTCTAAAAAAAAGTCCATACTCAGAAAGTTAACTTCTGAATGAAATAGGTAGAGTGAACTCACTTTAGTTACTTCTTTAGTTGTATCTATGGAGAAGAATCATCGTCTATTCATTTTCCTTTGATAGACACGTTGTATGTAGACATTTACTTTCTTAGGCATTCTAAAAGTAGACTTCTTAATTGTAGACATTTTAACTGTGGACCGAACAATTTTGACATTTTTTTCGTAGACCTTTTTTTCGTAGACCTACTGTCCGTGATTCTTTGTAACTTCCGGGTCGACATAAATGTCCAAGATGTCGGCTATTTTAGATCGGAGCCTGCGGGATCGAAGAGGAAATCCATCCCGAGGAATCCAAATTTCGTGGCCCCGAAGCCCCTTCCCCCGGGTTCCTCTTGGGGGTAAAAGGGAGCAGGTCGTGACTAAAAAAGTTGAGATTCCCGTCGAAATTTTGAATTTGGGGGACATGACACTGGAACAAGGCCCCCTTCCCAGGATTCAATATCGCTAAATTGACATAGATGCGCAGAGAAAAGATGTTACCCGAGGTAATCGATCACCAGGCATTCGAATGCGACAGTCGCGAAGCCCCCCAAATATTTTCTGATGTGATACTTATACAGAGTCCGTAATTTTGTAACTTTTCCAAGTTTAGAGCCCCCTGAATCATATCAGAAAATGTTTGGAGGGTTTTGGTACTGTCCAATTCGGATTTCTGATAGTCGATTAGGTACCTAGGACAACCTCCATTTACCTATCCTTAGACTGAATATAAGTTTGGCAAAATTGAATTCTGGGGAGAGGGCCCCTGTCTCCCACCTCTAGAAGTGAATAATTCGAAAAGGAGTGGTCTGATTTTGCAATTTTTGATGTAGAATAATAGAGGTACAATTTATTGCAACTTTTGAATATGATGCTATTATTACAAAATTCTGACAGGGGCCCCAATTTTTAAGTCACGACCCTCCTTTTGCCCCCCAATGGCAGCCGGGGGGCTTCAGGGCCACAAAATTCCTTAATTTCCACAAGAATCCTTAGGGACAATTCCCTCGACCCCATGGTCTCCGTTTTCATCCCACCTTAATTAACCAAGAAAAAAAGCCTGGTATGGGTGGTCCAAAAAACCCTGTTTGATCTGGTAGGTTTTATCAGTGAAGATTAACTTCTTACTGCAGTGCAGNGGGGGGGGGGGGGGGGAGACTAGACTGAAAGAGGATTAAATAATTATCAATTTTGAAATTTAATGTGAATGTTCATGGCAGCCTTAATACATTTATTATCAATTTTTTTTCCTCTAGCTGTCTGACGTTAGATCAACTCTGCTGTCATCCTTCTTCAACGATAAAAGCCAAGGCTACAAGTTTTCAAGGAATCTTTATAACATCATTCTATTAATCCTTGAGAGATATGCATGAATCTGCAACACCTGAGGCATGATATCGATTATTTTTAAGGCATGATAGGGTATCATAGGAAAATCAAACGTTGGCCGGCCGCTAACGGACAGGCACTTAATTAATCAATAGATTAGACTCAGAATTTGACTAAGAGCTTCCATAGTATTATTGCTATAGGTGAGATGCATATCTCATCTCTCAGCTGTAAAAGCCCTCTTTAAGGTGACTCAGACCATGGATGAACTGCGGTGAGATGCTGACATGAAAAGACATTGGGAGTACTTAGTTAGACCACAACAAGACAGATGAATCCCTGGTGATAACTAAGCAATAAATCGATGAATGAAACAAGATGAAAGGTTTGAAGCTTCCTGCAATTTGCAGGCCTCAATAATTTCAATCAGTACAGTGCTAGTGAAACTGCGGGAAAGAAAAAAATAAAGTATTACTTTGTGAAAACTTACATAGTTACTTGGAGAGCAAACCTAGGGCGTCGATGGAGATTAGACGAGGGATCATCGATTGAATATCCTTTGAAAGGATTTGGTTAAGATAAGGGCAAATCGCACTTGTACATAAATCAGGAACCTTGAGCAACTTTAAATATTCAAAGGACTTATTCACAACACTCACGAGAAGATGAAAACCGAAGCGAAGAACCATCCAGGTTTGTTTACAACTTGTTATCAAAATAACGCGAATGTAAACAAGTCGCAACTCGCAGTCCCATTGGTTCCCGCCAATTTCAGTGGCGCGCGTGGCAAAATATACAAATTGACGCGCCAATTTTCAAATTAGCGGGGAGTCCACTTGTCGCGCGCATACTGAAAATCAGCTTTAGATTTCCCGTTTCAAGCCTCTATCTCGGTTGTTTTCGGTCGTGCGAGTCAGGAATCAGGGCTTGTGCGAATAGGGAACTGTCCCGAAGGAATCCGAAGTGCATGGTCTCAAAACCTTCCCAGCCCCCCTTAGGAGGGGTGGGGTAAAAGGGGGGTCATGATCTCAAAATTTTGGGTTCCCGAAAAAATTGCGATTCAATTGCATCAGACATGAAAAGTACAGAAATATTTTAGTAAAGTTGACGCCTATTAAATTCAAAATCTGTCCACCCTCGGCACAAAAGCGACCGCTTAGAGAGAGAGAGAGAGGGGGGGGGGGGATGCTTTCTCCACAAATTAATCTTGGATTGCAAAATTGACGTAAATTCTACGGAAAAAGAATACATCCAAGGAATTTGACTCCGCGGAATCCGAATTTCATGGTCCTGAAGCTCCTTTAGCCCCTCTTGGATGGTAAACAGGGGAGAAAGCTCAATTTTAAAAGTCGGGGCTCCCTTTCAAATTGCAAATTGATTGCATCCAATTCGAAGAGTACAACATATTTGAACTTTAATGGCACCCAAGAGATCAAATTAACCCATTTGAAGCCCAAAAGTAACGTTCTAAAGAATTGCTCTTTCATTGCAAAATTGGCGACGTAAATTTTGCGACAAGAAGTTGGTATTGTAGATAATCGACAGAAAGGAATCCGAACTTCACAGTCTCGGGCCTCACCTGACCTTTCTTAAGAAATTAAGGGGGGGGGGGGAATGAGCCTC